ATGGTATATATAGCTCAATGTCCACTTACTAAGTACCAACTACTCTTCTTGTGTTTGCTTGATCTTGGTCAGATCCGAAAATCCTAGCCATGCCAAAATCTGAAATCTTTGGATTGAAGTTGTTATCGAGCAAAATGTTACTTGGCTTTAGATCTCTATGGATTATTTTCAATCTTGAATCTCTGTGAAGATAAAGGAGTCCTCGGCCAACTCCTTGGATGATAATGGAACGTTTCGTCCAATCCAAAACGCCTTGGTATACTTCATCTAAATGTTTCTCAAATATAAATACAGAATGCAGGGAAGAAGATTAAGAAATGCGTACGAAAGGCGGTGCATTAAGCTCCCGCTATGTGCGGGGTAGGGGGAAGGGCCGAACCACAAAGGTCTATTGTACGTAGCCTTACCCTGCATTTCTGCAAGAGGCTGTTTTCACGGCTTGGACCCGTGACTTCCTGGTCACATGACAACAACTTTACCAGTTATGCCAAGGCTCTCCTTCATTTAAGAACCGCGCACGAGAAGTAAAAAGATTTGAAGAGTAAGCACTAACCGAAGAGAAACACATCCAAGCTTTTCTTTGGCATATATTCATAAATCAGCATCTTCTCCTCTTTATCCACACAACATCCCAAGAGTCTAACAAGGTTTCTGTGTTGGACTTTAGAGATCACCAACACTTCATTCATGAACTCTTCTAGCCCTTGTCCGGAGGATTTTGAAAGCCTCTTGACAGCTATTTCTCTCCCATCTTCCAATTTTCCCTGAAAGGAAGTACCAATTTCAGCTACTGAAATTTGTAAAGTGATCGAGAGAGATGAAAATCGTACCCTGTAAACTGGACCAAAACCACCCTGACCAAGCTTATTATCATCACAAAATCGGGCTGTCGCATTTGCAAGCGTTTCGGAGTTGAAGACTGGTAATTCTTCCATTCTGTTACCAAGTAAAACTACCTCCTTGCTCTTCACTCCTAATATCAGAAGGGATACAAGTTAACTATAGCTAACAAAATGTTTCTAATTGTATAATACAAACTTTTTAGTCTGTTTTACCTCTACGTCTGACCATCCTTGTACAGAAAAGGAACAGACAAACACAGAGTGTAAGAGTACCAACGATTACTGGAATTACAATTTTCTTTATGTCTTTATGATGATCTGCAATGTAGAGCAAACATAAAAGGTGAACCAGTATCAGTTGTTTATTGAAGTCAAAAACTTAAAAGTATATACATGGACTTCAATTAAGTCAATTGAATTAATTGACTCGGACACGTACAAAGGAGAAGCCCAAATGCCCCGATAAGGAGGTGTGAGCGGCTGGGTTTGGAGGGCACGAGAAGAGGTAGAGGACGGCCTAAGAAGTATTGGGGAGAGGTAATCAGGCAGGACATGGCGAGGCTTCAGATTTACGAGGACATGGCCCTTGATAGGAAGCTGTGGAGGTCGAGTATTAGGGTTGTAGTTTAGGAGGTAGTTGAGTCTTTCCTTACTTCGTACCTTTGTGAGGCTAGTCTGGTAGGATTTTTGTCGAAGTCAGTTAGTGGCAATGTTGCGTCTTACTACTCTTTCGTTTTCCATAGTGCCAGGTCTATGTACTGTCTAAAGCTTTTGCATTGCATCTACTTTCTCATTTTCATGATGTTATATTTCTTATGGTTTCTATTGGTGATATTGATATTGTCTCTTTTCATCTTTTTGAGCCGAGGGTCTTTCGGAAACTGCCTCTCTACTCCCTTAGGGTAGGGGTAAGGTCTATGTACACACCACCCTCCCCAGACCCCACTAGTGGGATTTTACTGGGTTGTTGTTGTTGTTGTTGTCAATTAAGTCAATGATATCTCAAATGACAGATTAAGCTACAATGGTTGGAAAAGGATTATGCTGCTGGCTGGATGGACCTTATGAGGACCCCGTTTAAATTTGACCCCATTAAGAAAAGTCTCCGGCCAGAATTTTGAAGCACACTGGTCAGAATTTTGGGAAGTGGTTCTGGCGATCACTAGAATTTGAAAGCACCAGTAATTCAGTCGCAATGCTGAAAAATTCTGGTGACCTGTAAGGATTTGTGGCAAAATCCTGACGTACTTCTGGTGATCGTCGGTATTTTACCACAAATCCTTGCCATAGATTCTGGCACCGGGCTATTTTTCCAAAAATTTTGTCACCGGGGTAAAAAAAATCAACAGTGACACAAAAGTATCCTATTTGTGTCATTCTCCCTAACTAAAATGGGCTGAGAGGATATTGAGTCTTTCATTGAGCACCAGAATACATACCAAGCTCTGAATGTGCCACACGAATATAGAGATCTTTCCCCCAGCTTTGGAACTGCTGAATGTCAATCAAGTTGTTACTCCACGACATACAGCCGATACCTGAGTCATATGCATATGCAATGCAGGAACAATTACGCAAGCATTGGCTTCTACATTGGTCTTCTCTAGTAGATGACCTTTCTGCAAAATCGGGCAATTTCATTAACTCCATCTTTAGAAATCCATCTTCTTTACTCGAATTTCCCGAGTTATTCTTCACTTCACATTGCAAAGCTATCCTCCTAACACAACCGCTAGTCCAATTCCCCTTTTCCCATTCTTCCCTATGCTTTGGCTCGAAACCTTTCAGACAAGAACAAATCGGAGAATCCAAATCGTTGCAGCTCGCAAATGGACCACATGTTCCGTAAACTTCACAATCATTATTGGGAGCTGACCATATTATCTTCCAATTTGTCTCATTCTCGTCCCAAAATGATTGAACTAAGTCTCCTTTCCAATCCAAGATGAACTTCATTAACAAATTAAAACCAACAGGTCCAGTAAGATATACAGTACCTTCGCGATCGTTCACTACACTAAATCCATCAACGGACACAGAATACATATCCTGAACTCCAATGAAAATCTGGCCATTCCATTGACCACTTCGCCAGTAGGGACGGTTACCATTCCAAATATATACCTGAGGAATGATTTCAGATTTCATCCCTAAAGAAAAGTTTCCAAAAGTAGGATCCCAAGGGCTTGTCCAAGAATTTACTTCTATCCTTTTCCCTGTCCTTATGTTTTCACTTATTCTCATTTCAGGGACAAGTGAATCAGAAGGATGTTCAAAACTTCGCCATATTGTGGTCGCATTGTTCAGACGATCTACCAGAACAAAGTTACCAGAATCTTGGAGAAAGGCAATTGAGTTTACCTGAGAGGTTGTTGAAGTGTTTGATGACCAAAGAATCTCTTCCGCTTCGTTCATAACTACGACGTTTCCATCACCAGATATCTTCACAACCCCAGAAGAATCACTTAACGGTTTGTCCCTATTAGCCACCCAAATGACAATTGTTTCAGAAAAATTGTACCATATTCCAACATACCTATTAGTGCTGTTTAGAGGACTGAAAAATCCCAACTTGAAGACGCCATCTGGCGATGATAAAATTCCAGGATCTCTCAGAGATTGAGTGCTAGTAATCCTATCTACTTCTGTGCAAAAACCTGTATTGAAACAGTGAAGAATAACAAGAATTACATGAACAAAATATTGCACATTTCTGCTGCTATTGGTCATTTTTTGGTATTTTAAGGCTTCCTATTACCACATTGTAAGACTTCTTTTGCTCAACTATCTGTGCCAAAACACTATAACAAGATGCCAAATTGGACTTGTAATTTGTCAACTCAGAAATTTTCAACCAGGCCAATGGGCAATTGACTCTTAAAATAAATTATGCAAAATGTGTCCTTTTCAATGGGATCAGAACTAGGAAATGTGAATGATATGGGAGTTGTTTGCTTCTTCTTTGATGTTTGAGTCATACCATAAAATAAAGACTTACAAATTCCAGTCTTTGATGTTTGCTTCTCCTCTCTGCCCCTCGGGTAGGGGTAAGGTCTGCATACATATTACCCTCCCCAGATCCCACTTATGGGATTAGACTGGGTTGTTGTTGTTGTTGTTGTAAAATGAGGACAAAAAACAGAATAAATAAAGACTTTGAGAATTTTCCATGATTTTCACGTAATTCATTGACCATTAAGCTACTTAGCTTTTTCTTTATCCACCTCTTTTTGGCATATGACTATTAGAAATTTTGACTTTTCTTGGATAGTTTTGTTAGATGTTGCAAGTTGCAACACATTTTCTCTTTAAAGAAGAAAATACTTTTATAGCATAGAAGTTTTCCTTGCCAAACTATAATTTTCATATTTTCACACTTTTGATTGAGATTTTTTAGTGGGATGTCCCGAAAGTACTGTCACACGTTATAAGATTGAAGGGATAAATTCCAATTTTCTCCTCCCTTATTCCAAAACACTAAAAAAGCTTGATACTTGTGCGTTTGCCTACAACCATAACAGGTTGCAAGAACCGGATTTTATAAGTTTTGATATTTGTATGTAAAAAAAAAAAAATATGAGGTGATTTCTTCTTATATGACCAAGTCTTGGTGAGTAGAATTGCCCAATACCTATTCCGGTGGGAGGTAAAGTACCCAATGTAATAATTGAGGTGCATGCAAGCTGACCCGGATACCACCATCATGAAAAAGAGGGAGAAATTTAAAAATAGCCAGATTTACAAGTGGTCATTCAAAAATAGCCACAGTTTCAAGAGTAATCAAAATTTAGCAACTTTTCATGTAAAGACAAATCTGAACGAAAACACTGTTCAAAATCCGGAAAAATACTCCAGTATAATATACTGAAACTTTCCGCGTGTTGGAGTTCCAACATAATATGCTAGAAATTCATACACAGGTGCGCCAATCTCCAGTATATTATGCTGGAACTTTCCACGTTGCAGCAAAATAGTGCTATTTTTCAATGACTTTGCAAACGCTGGCTATTTTTGAATGACAAGTCCGAAAACTAACTAACCCGTGCTATTTTTACGGAAAAAGAAAAAAAAATCAAAGAAATATAAATATAGTTAAAAGTTGAAGCATCATTTTCCTTTCGCACTCTCCATTCAACTATATTAATGAATTCACACACACACACAAAATAGTTACATTAAATTATCAAAGTCTTCAAAGGCAATAAAACACAACAATCTAAACACCTTCATAGTTCATACCGAACTCAAAATACAACAATAAATTATAGCCAACTAATCCTTAGAACATAACACGTACTAGAGGAAAAGTTAACTAAAATACAGAATCCCTCTAATTATTAGCTGCAAACAATAGAGCACAAAATATTGCACAATAATTAGGAGATATCAAATTACACTTTGATGAATTAACCATATCAATTCACAATAACTTCTCTATGTCATCACATTTCGAACCGTTTTACCTGCACAAAACCATAAGTAGAAGTAAATCTTACATATAATTGATAGGATCATTAACAATTCTGCTAGAGGTTAAAGCTTAGAAACACACCAAAGAACAAGGCGAAGAATGCTCAATGCCAGCGGAAGATCTACTAGATACATTGCAGGAGGCCCTCATGATTCAGCGGGTCGTCTCTAGCCAAGGCAGCTCTTTCTTCCAATGATCTTTCATCTTTGACTTAGAGGAATGGTAAAGAAGCGACTCAGCACCATAATCCCCCAATGAAATTAAACCTAAAGCAATAGAAAGATAAACAAGACATACACAAGTGAACTAGGAAGGGACAAGTAACAGCAAGAAGTTTACATATTAAAAGTATAAGCCTTTCAGTGGTCCAATAAAAAGTCACCAGATTCTGTAGAAAGTTTATTTCTTAGAGAATAAGTCTCAAAGTTTTCTGATCGTTCAGTGTTGCATCCATTCTCGAAATATCTATATTCAATCAAAAGTCACCAAAATCAGTATACTGTAGCTCAAATTAGAAACTTGATTGGATTTGTAAAGAGTTGTAAACTTAAAAATATAAGTCTCAGTTTTCAATCAAAACTTACCAGAATCAGTACGCTGTAGCTGAAAGTAGAAGCTGTATTGGATTTCTGAGGAGTTGAGTTTTTGAAAAATAGTCAGATTTTGACCCGATTTGATTAGTTTGATCTAGACTAACATTAGAAAACCTTATTGTTCCGCGGACTCTCCAAAATAATGCCGCGTCCTCCAAAAATATACTACTTTTAGAAGATCCGACAAGCACCCAAAGATATTTTCGGAGAGTCCGGGCAATATAAAGAAAACCACAAGAAAATTGTTCAACCTAAAAAAGAATGAATTAACAATAGAACAAATGTTTCTCTTATGCCATTTTCAAGGGCAAAAAAATGTCAAAATCCATAGTAATAAACTAATTAATTTTACACCGTCCTATACAAATCTGAGATAGGACTTTTCTTCCGTTGATATTCAGATAGTTCCTCTCAATCTTCTGTAGCAAAATTATTATCAAATTTCACGCTTAGAATCAAATAATGTTCTTTTAATTTTTGATATACACTCCCCCATGCAAGAGGAATCATTTCATGGAAAAATGAATAGTGGAAGGGGAAGAGGAAGAAATAGCTAATCTCAAGAATACAATACCTGAATTATTATAAGATTGAAGGCTGTCAAATTTGGCCCAGGCCCAAATGACTCACCCAATCCGCCCAAGGTTGGACTGGTTATTGATTCACCCATTTATAAAACTCAACCCATCTTGACCTAATGCATCTCAACCCATTTAAAGTTGGGCTAACTTTTAGCCCAAATTATCTTAGAAATAACTTTTTTTTGTTTGATATGTTATATATAAGGCCAAATGGCCTCATGGCCACTTAAACTTGTATAGCATGAACTTACACTTTTCCCATTTGAACACTCCAACTTGACAAAATTGGTACTAATAAACACCGTTGACCGTTGACCATGTATATGTAAAAGTGGTGCAACTGACATGGCTAAATTGTGTGCAAATCACGCTGCCAAGGTGCGTGGACAGTGTTTTTTATATTAAAAAAATATTACAATTAGAATAAAATATAAATAAGAAAGAAAGAAAAAAGGAAAAGGAAAAAAGACCTTTCCCTCTCCCCTTCTCTTATCCCCTGCCCTCCCACCTCTCTCGTCTCCCCCAGCAAACTCCCACCCCTTTTCTGTAATTTTTTTAATTTTCTATACTAATTTCCCACCCCCTCCCCTTTCTCCATTTCTTTTTCCCTTCCTCTTCCCCTTCAATAATATTTTCTTTCATTTGCTAGTCTCCACCCACCTTTTCCGTCCTAACCTCCCTCAACCACCGGTGGTCGGAAGATAGTCTGAACTTTGTCGTTGTTCTATCATCGATTTAATCTTCGCTAAAATAGCAGCAAAAAAGGGCAGATATTTGCAATGGTATTGGGCGACCTCCACTATTTCAAAATTATGAATTTCTATTGATTTTTTTTTGTGAAATTCCAAAATTAATTAATTTTTTGTTATGGTGAGAACAATGAAGAAAAAGAGACATGAGAAAAAAGAAAGAGTAAGGAAAGGAAGGGAGGTGGGTGAACAGAGAAGAGGGATTATTGGGTACAGGTTACTGGGATAAGTGTGAGGTGTTTTTCATTTTTTCTTTTTGCATTTGTAACTTCTTTTTTTGCTGATTTAGTATTTAAAAATGGGACCCACAAATAATACATGTCAAGTAATAAATAATATAGCATATGACGTGTTGTACATGTCAGCGCAATTGATATACACACTCTGCTGGATGTATTTATTAGTATCCATTCCGTTAAGTTGGAGTGTTGAAATGGGAAAAGTGTAAGTCCATGTATCGGGTTTACAAACTGATACAAGTTTAAGTGGCCACGAGGCCATTTGACCTATATAACCATAACAAAAGAAAAAAAGTCTTATTTAATAATTATAATTCATAAGAAAAGAATACATTAATTAAAGTTTGGTAGAGTTGGGCGGGTTGAGCTATGACCCAAATTTTAGCCCATCTTGACCCAGCCCATCCTAGCCCAAGTAAGTTTTGATAAGCTCATTTATTGACTCAGCCCATTTTGAGCCACCCAAAATCGGCTCAACCCGCTCATTTGACACCCCTAATTTACAGCAAGGATTAGCTTAGCAACTAATGGATTTAGGCAAAATATGTAGCCCCACCAAGTCAAATGCAACTAAAGTTCGAGTCAGAATCCTTTAGCTACTCCTTATAAAAAAAAAAAAAATCCTTTAGCTACTGAAATGTAAACTATTAGGTGTCATTATTTTGATATCAATAATTGTTATCGGTTAAAATAGGGAAGCAACATTGTTCTAAATCAAGCTTTTCACAACAACCAATACAACAAAATAGAAATGACATAAGACTTATCTTAAAAATCACACGAGCCTGAAAGCACAGCCGGAAACTAAAGACAGACGACTAAATGTGTATAAACCATATAGTATACTCCCTCCGTTTCAATGTATTTGAACCTATTTCCTTTTTAGTCCTTTCACTATTTGGAAACAATTTAACTTTATGCAATGATTTATAGCCGCACAAAATATATGTGCCTCATTTTACACAAGTTCAAAAGTCTTCTCTCTTTTCTTAAACACCGTGCCCAGTCAAATGGATTCACATAAATTGAAACGGAGGGAGTATCATTTAAGCTTCAATATGACATATAAATAACAGGCCTCTGGAATAAAGGTCTCTAGTTTCTCCGGTATACTTTCGGATGGGAACACATGTTAACGTCTAAATCTGGAGGGCTTGAATTATTCTAGTAAACAAATGCTATTAATTTTTTGATAAGGTTGACTAATGCTTTTAATGTAAGATAAAGATACTAAACTTATGGATAGATGATAGCTAAGACTGTAAGTGGCTATGGGAACTGAACAAACACATAAAATTCATGAAATGGCAAGTGCAGATCACTTCATTGGAAAAAGAAAAACAGAAAGCAACAGAAATGAGAAAGTTGTTATGCAAAGCACTACAGAGAAATAGAGTTTCCAACAGTATTAAAATTCGAGAGAATTCTCTTTTACCTGTCACTATTGGAGCTTGCCGAATCATCTGTCCCAAATACTTCAGTTCAGCAAATTTGTGTATTTGAAGGTTCCCTTAAATGAATCATGATGAGTAGCAGAAGGGAAATGGCAGTGCTATTTGAGACATTGGTTTAGCAGAAACTAAACCCCTCTTTTGGATGTTAATAATGTAGGCACCTCGGGCATAAGCCATTTGATAGAAAATTAATGCATCCTTACAATTAAACAGATGGATTTCTTATCGTAAAGCAAAATAAATGCTTCACTCTGAACCTCGGGTGGAAATCACTCCAGAGCACAAAAGAAACAGATGATCTTCAATCATTGACTAAATCATGATGGGCACACTGTTATAAGCAATGGACTGATCTTCAAAATCAACCATCATTAAGACGATTTCCTCAAAAGCATGCAAGCCATTTTATGATAACAAGGACCTAATGATCAGAAATTGATAATGACAAAGAAAACCACAGAGATGGCTTGATCTACTAGCATCAAGTGATGACGGGTAGAGAACATATGGATCAACATGTAGCTTCATTCATTTCGCTGACATCCCATTTAGGAATTATCGGAGCAATAAGTTCTAATATTAAGGGTCATATCCTTGAGGCAACAGACAATGAATCTTCAGCATAACCCAGCCCATCTCTTAAAGTTCAATGCTGCCTCTCTCTTTTTCATCTGGGTTTCTAACTGGAATTTTGGAGCCTTTCCCTTGTAGAGTGTTTTATGATACTTTAAGAAGAGGGTACGGTACTTGTACTTGTCAATAAACATATTACCTTTATCCATCATCTCCACAACTTCATTTGCTCGAACAAAGAAACCACCTCTAACAAATGTATAAAGCACAGCATCTAACAGTTCCTGATCAAACTTCATTCCACTAGAAAAAGCAAGAGACTTCATTTCACCCCATAGTTCCGTCACCTCCACGTACTTTCCACCAATGGCAGCATAACCTGTGACCAGAGAATGAAAAGTCTGTGCATTTGGAGCATGTCCCAAACTCCTCATCTTCTTAAAAGCCTTTTCAGCATCTTGCAACAACCTCTTTTTGCAGAAAAAGTGAATTACGTTATTCCAATCATGAACTCCGTAATCTACTTTTTGTCCTTCCTTGATTTCATGCAAAAGCGTCATCATTAAACTAGCTTCACCTCCTTCTGCAGACCCTTTGACCAATTTCTCAAATTCTTGATGACCCGTTCTTGGTATCCTAGTCTCCTTCATCTCTTTGAACAGGTCAAGGGCGCCTTGAGTGTCCTTCTGAAGCGCCTTGGACTGGATCAATACTTTGTAACAGCTTGCATCTACCTGAACCCCAGCTTTACGAGCATCTCTAAGAAGAGAAGCAATTTCCCCAGCTCGGTTCTCTTTACAGTATGCTTTCAGAAGAGACGAATAAACAGAAGAACCAGTTCTAACGCCAGCCAAGCGCATTTCATCCAGTAGGTCATGTGCCAGATCTAACCATCCGAGTGAAATACAAGAGTTTATCACATGAACCAAGGCAGAATCATCAACTGAAACTGGAGAATCTTCTTTCTCTGCCTTTATTAGAAATTCTGCAAGATCTTTTGTTCTCCCAGCTTCTAAGAAAGCCTTTACCAATTTAACGTATAATTTCTCAGTAGGCTGGAGAATACCACGTTCACTGGTAATAAATTCAATTTGCTTCTGCAACTTAATTACCAAGACATCAAGTAAGTCTTTAGCAATAATCTGCAGCTTTAAAAACTTTCTGTCTCTACAGAGATCTTCGTATGATACTAAGTTTTCTGATCCATTCGGATTTCGATAAAATGCATCATCGAGGGGAACATTTGCAAGTGATGAATTGCCACTTCTAGAAGCTTCGAGCAGCAAATTAGCTACACCAAGAGAATTTTTAGCTTTCTCTGCCTTGCGAAGCATTTCTAAAACCATGTGGGATGCAGATTCAAGATCTCCAAATTTTAAGTAGCACGAAAGCAAACAATTATAGAACTGACGGAACTGCATCTCAGTCACATTAGGGGCCTCTTCCATGTCTCTCTTAAGCTTCTTGAGCTCCTCCCTTCGTCCATTCTTCTCATAAATATGAGCCATTATGATTAGTAAGGTAGGATCANTCTGCCTTGCGAAGCATTTCTAAAACCATGTGGGATGCAGATTCAAGATCTCCAAATTTTAAGTAGCACGAAAGCAAACAATTATAGAACTGACGGAACTGCATGTCAGTCACATTAGGGACCTCTTCCATGTCTCTCTTAAGCTTCTTGAGCTCCTCCCTTCGTCCATTCTTCTCATAAATATGAGCCATTATGATCAGTAAGGTAGGATCAGCTTTCAAGTTGATTCGAGGCATCATGTCAAGGAGCTGCTCTGCTTTTCTAGTAGTTCCAAACAGAAGACATCCAGCCAAAGCAATGTTAAAACAAGTGGTATTTGGCTTCATGGAAAGTAGAGGTTCGTTGCTCTTTTTACGGGGATCGACTCTTCCATCTTGAAACAAGTAACCTATTTCAAGAATCAATTCAACAGCAAGGTACGCTCCATTAGAGGTTTGTGACATATAAGCCAGGATTGCAGACCAAGCACTCACAGGTGGATACTGTTCTGTTTCCACAAGCTTCCTTACAAGAGTAGATGCGGGAATAGGTAATCTGCATTTGGCAAGGACTAAAGAGAGATAGATAAGAGCATTCCTTCCAAGTAAGTCATGCTTGTTCTCCTCAAATGCCTGTTCAACCAAAGCATAAGCCTTCTCCAGCCATCGAAGATCTGAGCTTTCGGCAAAAGCTGCTACAAGTTTATTAACAATTGATTTTCTAGGAAACCCGGCCATTTGTATGTGCCGCTCATACAAAACCCACGCATCATCAAGTTTATCTTCATCAATCACATTTTCTAACTCCTCAGACATTTTACCGAGGTCTTGAGCCTGGACTAAGATTGTCCCAGCAATGGTAGAAAATGGAGCAGTCTGAGCAAACGCAGTGCAGCCGACTCCACTCTGAATCTCTATGTTTCCTCGACTGAAGCCACCTAACCGATTGACAAACTCACTACTCCAACCAGACTGAATTGTGTGTTTGAAAACTACATAATGACCATTGACAGCAATCAACCGGAGCAAAGAAAAGGGGCAAGCTGCTATCCCGAGGTTCAACTTCCTGAGAGCGATCATTTTCTCCAAGTAGCATTCCTAGTTCTTCACTTCATGCTGAATCTTGCCGAATAATTAAAAGAATCAGAATGTTAGAGATTAATTACCAAGTTCTTTTTCTTTTGGTTCAAAATCAATATACCAATTTTCCTGACATGCTCACCTTAACTCAGGAGGGGATATCTTGAGTTCATGGATTTCAGATGCTACGATTTCCTATATGACTTGAAATATACCATTTCAATACAAGTGGCTAAAACTCGCAATATGATGACAAATATTGCACTTTTATGGCATTATTCTCTTTTTCTATTTATATATTAAGAAGATATCAGTAGATTAACATCGGAACCAAATAAAATCACATATTAACTTGCAAATATAATAACGAAGCATACAAATTGGAGTTGCTAATTCTTTATGCAGTGAAAGTAGACCCTGAGCTTGGCAACCACAATTCAAAATTCGTGTTCTACAACTAAAAAGCATGCTGAACGTTTGCAATAAAAATGATTAACATTACACCTTTAGATAACCAAATTCCCATTTTTCTTTTTCATACTAAGAAGATTTGAGAGTAACCAATATAAGAAGTAAACAAGAATGCAAAATTAACTTCTAAAAATCATAAAAAAGGTATAAATCAAACTTGAATCTTTCATTATGTAGTGATAGTATACACTAACCATGATAACCCCAAACCCAAACCCGATGAATATATAATAGATGTCTTCACATACACACTTATCACCAAAATAAAAGGCAACCCGGTGCACAAGGCATCATGCATTCACGCACGGTTCGGGAAGGGCCGCTCCAAGAGAGTGTGATGTAGACAGCTTCCCTTAATGCAAGCATTAGTAGCTGCTTCCAAGGCTCAAACTCCGTGACCTAGTTGCTCCAAGGCTCCCTTCACGCTTATCACCAAAATATAGTAGTTAGTTAAAATGCATCTCACCTTAATATATGATTAACCATAGTAAATTAGTATGGTTTGGTGTAAACACCGGGTGCAGGTAAATTTTGAATTCGTGTTTTACTATTAAAAAAGCATGCTGAAAACCAGCAAAATAATGATAAAGATTACACCTTTATGGACTTATCCTCCTTTTTTATTTCTTTTTTTCAATTAAGAATATCCCAGGACACTAATTAACATGGAAAGCTAAAATGCATATTAAATTGGAAAAATCAGAAATTGAAGTTGATACTCCTTATGCAGTAACTAACAGTAAACACCAAAAGGACAAAACCCAGTTCACAGATTATTGTATTACCACTAAAAAGAATGCTGAAAACTAAAAATATAATTATAAAAAAATGCACTTTTTATGGCATTCTCCTTTTCTTTTCTTTTCATTTTCTATTAAGAATATTTACAACTAAAGAGCATTAGAAAAAGGGATTACCACAGATGACAAAAAGGGAACTCACAGCTTGATTTTCGGCGGAGAGAAGCAAAAGTTCGCCGGAGACGGAGAGCGTTGCTAAACTTGGCAGAAAAAGAAAGACGACTGAGGAAAAATTGTTGCTGGGCCAAACATTAACTGAAAGTTGGGCCTATCATCCAATTGGGCCTCCAATGTTATTACTCTCTTTTCTGGGCTTTTAACACATTTTGCAGATCAGCCTATTTTAACAATAGGGAGAAATTCAAAATAGCCAGATTTACAAGTGGTCATTCAAAAATAGCCACAGTTTCAAAAGTAATAGAAATTTAGCACTGTTCATGTTAAGATAAATCTGAACGAAAACACTGCTTCAAATCTGGAAAATACTCCAGCATAATATACTGGAGTTCCAGCATAAGTATACTGGATCTCCAACATATCACAATGGAGTTCCAGCATAAGTATACTGGAACTCCAGCATATTATAATGGAGTTTCAGCATAAGTATACTTGAACTTCAGCATAATATAATGGAGTTCCAGCATAAGTATACTTGAACTTCAGCATAATATAATGGAGTTCCAGCATAATATACCGGTCCAATATAACATGTTAGAAGTTCATACATAGGTGCTTCAATCTCCAGTATATTATGCTGGAACTTTCCGCGTGTTGGAGTTCCAACATAATATGCTGGAAATTCATACATAGGTGCACCGATCTCCACTATATTATATTGGAGATCCCTGTTGCAGCAAAAATAGTAACTATTTTTTACTGACTTTGCAAACGCTGGCTATTTTTGAATAACCAGTCCGAAAACTCGTTAGTCCGTGCTATTTTAACAATAATTATAGCTGCTAGCTAAATATACAAAGAAATATACAACTGATAATATATAATACACAACAAGAAAAAGCCTTATTAGGGACTATCATTTAGCGACCAATTTTAAATATGATCCCTAAAAGTGTACTTACATCGATGAGAATTTATTTGGTCTTTAAAAGACAAATTTATTTTTTAAATACACGACCATACTTATTCTAGTCTATACAAAAGTTAATATCTGGTCTATAATAATTGATTTCGGCGGGATAGCGCGCGAAACTAACGAAAAAAGTAATGAAAAAAAAGAAGGCAAAATGCTCCAAAATTTCACGGTAATCCCTCCAAATTCACTTTCACGCTTAATGCCTCCAAAATAGTTTCACAAAATCCCTAAACTTCTAAGAGACAAAACTAAAAAGTAGGCCATCAAAATTCCTAAGAGGCTCGCTGCTAATCTTCATCAAAGTTCAGAAGTTGCAGAGAACTCAAAAGTTAGGTTGGTGCGAAAATTCATCTTTCTTAGATTATCCGCCTAATCAATAGTGAGTTCAATTTCTTTTTCTTTAATCAGTTATGTTTCTTCTTTCTTCTTCGTCTTGTTTTTCCCAATTGAATCAGAAATTGGAAAAAGGGTTCTACAATTTTTGTTTCTTTAGTTGTTTTTTGCAACATCCGCGCGACTGACGGTGGACGGCAGCAAGCGGCGAACGGCAAGGCAACAGGCGGTGTACGGCAGATTTGTGACGGGCCCATCTTCTAGGTTAGTTTCTATCTCTATTTCTCCTTTTCTTATTACCTCTTTGTGATTTATGAGTAAGTTCTGATTGACTCTTAATTTGGCCATGGATGGCCATTAAAGGTTTAGCCACGAATTTTTGCTTTTTTACCTTTGCACGATGAACATCAAGGTTCAGCAATGGATGTAATATTCAAGACTATTGGATTTGGCGTTACTCTGTTAGCCTTTGGGTTATTGAGTTCCTGATTGACACTGATTTTATGAAAAGTGATTATGGCCTCAATGTTGAGATTTCAGCCTACATTTTGAAAGTGATTAAGAGAGAACCTTTAGTGTTTCATCAAAGAGAGCAGTGCAAAACTTCACTGGTTGAATGGGGTAGTAACCAGCTAGCTTGTGCTGTAGCTAACATAGAAAGAAAAATAAATTGTGTGTTAATTCAACTCGTGATTATTCAAGTCATTTGATTTTCTTATCGGATTCTAGGTACTTTTACACTCTAAAAAGAGTTGTTGCTTATTGCTATGTAGTCCGTGTTCAAGATCAAGTTATCCTTTGGTACTTGTTTTTCTGACTCATTGTTTTTTGGTATGACAGTTGGTGGTACCATAAGGCAAAAACCAAATGCCTAACATTTGTTGCTCTATCTTCCTTACCCTTCACCCTTCCAATTTCTAGTAATGTTTTCTGTTGTAAGCTATGTTGCTCGAATTCTCCAAAAGTGTTGGTGGGTGCATGTCGGATCATCCAAAAAGAGTGAAATTTTTGAAGGATCCACACGGATGCGGTAGCTATTTGGAGAGTCCGCCCAACATAGGTTGTAAGGTACTAGACTTAGTGACTGACACTGGTTACTGCATAACAATAACCAAATTGATTTGTTGTAGTAGACTAGTAGTTACACCTTGCTTTGCTCTCCTCTACTTGTATTTTGAAGTAGTACCTAAGTAATGAGGTATTGATCACACCATTCTCCTTGGATAATTCCAAAAAGCACTGATTATCCTATCTAGTTCACAAGCACAGGATACCAAGGTATCCTGCCCACCAAGAATGGAGCAAATGAGCTACTGGTTGGACTTTGGAGCAAATGCCCATCTAAGAATTCCCTTTCTAAAGAGAATTAGTATATCAACTGTATATAATCCTTTTTGAATTGCTAGTTGCCGTAATAGTAGATAAAAAGTTGGTGTTAACTTCATTGAAATGATAGCTTAGTTGCCGTAATAGTAGATAAAAAGTTGGTGTTAACTTCATTGAAATGATAGCTTAGCTGTTCTCTTTAATTGTTCTATATTCTGAAAGGGGTATCAGCATTTGCGAAAAAACACTTTATCTTTACCAATGAGCAAGTTTAACTTTAGAATGAATATACATGCAGCTGTTTCATTCATGAAATAGCTAGAGAATATAAACTAAGGTGTTGAATATAAAAACTTTTAATATGTTAGCAAATTCTACCATACTGCCTTAAAAGACCTTAGCAGGCCATGATTAAGTAGTTAAAATGCAGTTCCTAATAGTAGACATCAGATTGAATACTTGTTTCATAAATTTGCATCAAACTGTCAAATTTGGTTATTAACCTCAAATTCATAAATAAGTATTCAAATCACATGTATTATGTATGTAATTACACTTTGATTGTTCATCAAACGTTACTGTTGCTGCATGTTCTATGTTCTAAATTCACAAAATTGAAATAAATGTAAGGTATTTATTAATTCAAGCCTTATTGTAGAACTATGTTTTCTTCTATCACATGGAGTTTCTGTGATGATATTGGATATCAATCTATGTTTGATGTATTGCAGGATAAATTTGAGAGTGATGACATGGATATACATCGTGATCATATTTTGGGATGGATGAAAGAGTTATGGAACAAACGGAGAGGACAATTGCATACAAAATATGTGAAGGGTAAGCCAATCCAAGAGGTTCTTAAGAATGTGCCCAAGGGGGTAGACAAGAAACAATGGGAGTGGTTGGTAAAGGAACATTTTTCTACAGAAAGTTTTCAGGTTTGACATAATACCTAATTATGTAATTTTATTTTATACAGTGATCTTTTAATTGATAATTTATTTATAGCATATGAATTTAATGTTGTCACTCAAATATAGGCGAGAAGTAACAGGAATGCAGCAAATATAACTAAGTTGAAGATGCTTCATCATATTGGTAGCAAGCCAATTAGAGAGATTATTTATCAAAAGATATTATCATCAAATATATTTTTGCTTAATATTGACGAGACATTATTTGACATATTTACTTTTATGTAAAGGACGGAAAAGATGACTAACCACCAGATTTGGCAACTATTTTCTTTGAGACTCGCAAGAAGAATAACACACTTGTCGATGCTGAAACAATCGAGAAACATGTGCATTTGGTTAATTGAACATGTTCTTTACTTTTAGTTATTATGGAATCTGACAAAAAATTTTCTATATACTTTGTAGGCTCAAATCAAGGAATTGGTGCAGTCTGAACCGTCACTTCCTAACATAGAGATTGTAGAAAAATGCTTTGGACCTCAAAGTCGTAGTCATGTATTTGGCTTTGGGGGGTGGATTAAAGGCGAAAGATTTGAAAGGTGGAACTACCTCAAAAACTGAATTATTGGCTAAGCTACATTCAACTGAAAATGAAAACCAGTCTTTGAAGGATCGTCTGTCTAACTTCGAAAATGAGATGAGAGAACTGAGAAAAATAAAAGAATTAGTATTAGCGTAACAAACCAATTTCCAGCCTCCAGCTCAGGGGAATGACTATTCGGATCCTTGATGATACTAGGTGAGTAACAACTTACATGAAACCTCAATTTATTTTATTGATTTAAGTGTATGTAATTGTATATCATTTGCGGAATTTATTCTTCTGTTAATTACGAATTTCATCGGTGTCAATTTGATCTGCGTTTTCCTCTACACTTGTCTTTGATTTCTTCGTCTGGTCAGCCACCATTTTCAGCAACCCTAGAGCTGGTTTCTTCACCAGGTTTTTCCTAATCACCTTGAGAATCTTGTTCTGTTGCAACATCTCATGGGAAATGTTGAGTGGCAAGTCATTAGAGTCAAACTCTTGTAGAAAGAGGTATACTCATCCTTGGTGATCTCCTCTGGTTTACGCAACCAGATCTCGCTTCCGGTAAATAGTAAATAAGGCTTTTTAGCTTTAGCTCCCTGCGTTCTGTTCAGTGCTTTATCTACTAAGTGCCTATACTACTGGTTTTGCTTTCAGTAATCTCAAAAAATTACTAAGTTGTGNTATATATATACTTAACACAATGGCCTAGCCAGACAACCGCGTGTCGACATACTGGTTTCATTTACTACATTTGTAAATGAAGACTGGTTTACGCAACCAGATTGATTTCTGCTTGTTGATGAGCTGCACACGTGAGAAACCTCTTTAATCTTCTTTTTCTTTCCTTTCTCCTTCTCTTTATCCTCATCAACCTCCTCAACAGCACCCTCCTCATCTCTCTTGAGCTCATCATCTTCATCGACAAGAGCAAATAGGTGAGATGAGGCACCACCATTGACCCAGAACTGCTCGTTTCTCCACCAGTTATCAATACTAACACCTCCCAATTGCATCTCAAGAACACTCGTGGCAGCAATCATTATGAAAAGTCCTATGAAAAGAATGCTAGCATAATTGCTAATCTGCAAACCGCAATGACTTTTCAGCAAAAATATCATGCGATGAGTTGACTGCTGTGATGCATTATTTTAGTTATGCCTAGTTATAAAAGATTCTGGAACTGAAAAAGAGTATCAAACTTTCAAACTGGTGGCCTAATCAATAGTCCTGGACAAATATATAAAGACAAGAAATTGGAGCAGCTGTCTCCTTCTAGGTATAGCACAACCAAAATAATCCCCAATGTACTTTAGACTCGTGATCTATTGCTTGAGTTTTAGCTGTCTATTGATCCCTTGTTATTTAAAATATTAAGATGAGTTACAAAGTGTCTTAAATGTTCATTGTTTGAATGGATATGCGTGTTAGATGTTTACTATGGCTGATTAATGATTGATCTCTGTGGAGTAACTTTCTGCAGCTCAGTTCAGTGACACTGTTTTACCTCTTATGTGGTTAAAATTTGCAAAGTCATCTATTTATCATTTCTTTCACTAAATTTTGTTGTCTGGGGGGGGGTGACAAGTCGGTTGTATCCTAATCATTGTTGAGACTATACTCTTTCCGAAAACTTGAGTATCTATACGTCTCTTGTATATATTTTTTCTAACTGAAATTTCTTATTTCTTCAACAGGTTTTGGATATTGAAGCTTACTAGAAGCCGATTTTTGACGACATACAGATTAACCATCATTTTGCTGGGAATTTTAAGAAAATTTTACATTACAATCGAAAATATTATTAGTATATGTAGTTTTTTGCTAAATGTTTATGAACACAATGTTGTGACTAGCTTACATCATTGATGTACGGTGCAACTAATTAACTGATGTTGATCATTTTTGGTATTATTTTATGAAAGCAACATTATCTATATATTATAATATTCTCGATTTTCTAGTTGCAAACTAAATGTGATTTAGGGACTTGTGACTTGTTTCTTTAGGGACCAGCTCCTTCTCTGAATAGATATACCGGCCAGCTTCTAACTGCCGTGAAACGTTTTAACGACCACATTTAAACTAGTTGTGAAAACATTTTAAGGACCAGAAATTTAGTCCCTAAAATATGCAAATAAGTACCAGAAACATGGTCCTTAAAACCTATTTAACTGTCAGTTTTAAATTGGTCACGAAACTTGTTTAGCGACCATCACACTATCTCATCCTTAATGACCTTTAGCGGCGGAAGCTATAAGGACCAGATTGGTTGGTCGCTATTGAGCATTTGCGACCAATTCCTTACTTTTAAGGACCAGTTTTCCCTTCGCTATTGAGCATTTTTCTTGTAGTGATAATAATATACAACAAAATAAATATTTTCTAGCTATTATTTTGAGGGTGACTATAATATGTAAAACTTCCGTTTTTTTTTCTTCCAAATATTCTAAGGATATGCTCAGTACATTTTATCTCAAAACTATTTAGAGAGGAAAACAATTTAGTAAAAATAGCACGGGCTAGCTAGTTTTCGGATTGATCATTCAAAAATAGCCAGCATTTGCAAAGTCATTGAAAAATAGCTACTATTTTGCTGCAACACGGAAAGTTCCAGCATAATATATACTGGAGATCGGTGCACCTGTATATGAATTTCCAGCATATTATGCTGGAATTCCAACACGCGGAAAGTTTGAGTATAATATACTGGACAATCTCCAGTATATTATGCTGGACTGGTATATTATACTAGGATTCCAGTATACTGGAGTATTTTTCCAGATTTTGAACAGTGTTTTCGTTCTGATTTATCTTCACATGAAAAGTGGCTAAATTTCGATTATTTTTGAAACTGTGGCTATTTTTGAATGATCACTTTGTAAATCTGACTATTTTTGAATTTCTCCCAACAATTTATCTTCTCGTATGATTTCTTATATACTTATGTACAGTAATTTTTATTATCTATAGTACTTTTCTTGGAAGTTCTGAGGTTATAAATTTTATCTTTTATTGAACAAGTTATGTCTAAGACAAGAGGGGTTGCTCTTATGGTAAGCAACCTCCACTTCCAACTAAGAGGTTGTAAGTTCGACTCTTCCCAAGAGTAAGGTGGGAAGTTCTTGGAGGGAAGGATGCCGAGTTTCTATTGGAAACTTGAATAAGTTATGTCTGAATTCACAATGTAAATAAGGTGTTTGACTCTCTCACGCCAAATTAAACTCATGCACATAGAAGGATTATTATATATATATCTTTTTGGAACACTATTCATATTACATAAAAAATACATTATAGATATTAAATTGAAGTATTACATAAGGAGAGTCTTGGGTACATTATCCCATTCTTTTAAGTATAACCGAGGTGGTTCGTCAAAATACACATACTACCAACAAACTGAAATTAGTTATAAACTCCGTCGCTAAAGCGCTTGTAACTAACACAATTTCTTGAAAAGTTGTTGTTAATCAGTGATAAATAGAATTAGCGAGTTTAACTACATATTTTGTCTGTTGCTAATCCTTATCTTTTTAGTAGTGTCAGTAAGAGTATTTTACTGGACTTTTTTTTATTTATAAATTTTATAATCCAACGATTCATTCACCTTTACTATTGCGAATAACACCTCCAACATATACCTCAGGGTCTGCTTTACATGAACCATAAATGTTTAGTTTGATAGTGATTATATGTCTTGATTAAGAGTTTATACTCAAAACTCTTACTTAAAATTAAAGGACTTAGCTAAGTAGTTGGCCAGTAATATTGTGTTAATTTTCATACTAAATATAGTACACCCCCTTAATAACGTAACTTTCAGCGTGCCTCAACTGACCTTAGAATTTGCCGGGACAACAAGCAATTTAAATGGTTAAGATTTGTCATGGCCAAAAGCATGGCTTTATTTTTTAATTGCATGCATGTAACTCTTGCTTTCTGCGATAGATTTGCAACAATTCCAATTTCTACAAACATTTCATGCTTATCAACAAGCTTGTAATTAAAATCCTTTATAAATTTAGTCCTTTTGGCAAAGTGTGTGTGATCCTTTTTATTATTTTTCTTTCTTTTTTTAACCTAGCTAGCTATAGAGGTTGGTAAGTGGTAATAAGTAACACCCTTTAAATTTTCTTGAAATTCATGTTATTTTGATTCCTCTTTGTTTCTACATGAAGGAGAAGATTAAGATGTCGAATTTAGATCTGAGTGGATCAAAGAAAAGGAAGAGAAATGATCAAAGGGTTTTTAAGTTCAAGACTTTTGGTGAACAAGGGTTTCCTACAGAGTTCATAGGGTGTAACTTTGAACAAAATGTTAAGCTTCTTTTGGAATTTGCACAGCCAGAAGAAAATGGTGATCATGCCATGGCTAGCTGGTCATTTCAGCTGGAAGTTCATCGTCATCCGCCGATGCATATATTCCTGTTTGTTGTTGAAGAACCAGTTGAATTATCCCTCAGTCATCATTGCAAACACTGTAAATATATAGGTATGTATAAGCTTCTCTGTTGAAAATTATTTTTATTCAATTTTGGATAAATTGCAGATGTATCAATATGGTTTCACTTTTCTGGTTAAGGAAATTTTGATCATGACTTGGTTCAACTTAACAATTTATGTAACCCTTTTAACGTCTCGTGTATCTTCGTACGTAATGATAGGTTTTGGTTTTTGCGAAAATATAGTAATAAACTAATGCAAGCAGGCTACCTATTATAACAAGTTTAATTATATTGTCTCTGTAGCTAAGTTAAATATATTTTGACAAAGTTTCCATGATAATTGACACAAATAATTAATCTTAGCTCTCTCTAGATCTCACTTCATCTTATTGCAGTACTGCAAATGATGTGATGCTAGTGACA